GGGGGGGGGGGGGTCAGCAATGGCGGTGCCGTCGCGCTGAGTCGGTTCCGGGTGAAGCTGCTACTCGTGTCGGTTGTACTTACATGGCCGTGTTGGTTGTAGCAACAGCTGTGTAGTTGCAAACTGTAGCAGTGTAGCTACAAACACGGTTCGGTGTGTTGCTTATGTTTGCCAGCCTGCGCTTTCGACAGAAAAGCCATGGCGATATGCTCCGCGTCTGCGCCCTCGCCTTTCTCCTCCTCGCCAGGCAACCGCTATGCACGGCCAAGCGCCCCCACGTAAGCAGTTAATGTTGCAAGTCGATCCATATTAGCTACGACATTTTGGGATGGTGATGTATATTTTTTCACGGCACTTCATGTTGTAAATCAAGTTCCCTGGTCCCAGCGCCGCCCCGGCCTCTTGCAGCCCTCCCACTTAGTGGTCGAGGTCTCCAAGGCGGCAAGCTGCGACGTCCCGGGCAACAGCCTCAAGTTCTTCAACATTCAGACTGGCATGGTCAGCAAGGTGGACTTCTCTATCAGCGCCGACTTCAACGTCACCCGCCCTAGCCGGTATATCGACTCGGTGAGACAGTTTTGTTGAGACATAACTTTCTAGTTTGAAAATTAAAGAATACCGCAAGCTTTATGCAATCGATCTGTCTCCCCAGATCCTGTTCCAGCTCACCAAGTGCCGGGAGAGCGTCTCGTCCAACACGTGCGAGCTCTTCCAGACCTGGCGCTTCGAAAACAACCCGTGCAAGGGATTTAACGACCCCACCGCACTCTGGGCCTTTACCCTGAATATGATAAAACCTCGCCCAAACTGCCCCTTTAAGGAGGTAAGCATAAGGCATTGGGCGGAAATGGTAATCGTAAATGTAAACAACAATTACATGGTGTGGAAGTGAACAAATTAAATGTACTAAAAAAATGTAAAAGATTTCAGTGATTCTAGAAATTCAGCACCCAGAAAAACAAATTCTTAATTTAAGTCAAATTTCGGCTTGTATTCGCTATTTTTGACTTATTGAAGCCAATTTTCTTGAATCAAGGAAAACGTTTCTTCGAATTGAGAAATAAAATTTGAATCAAGAAAATCGACTTGGAGAAAAAAACAAGGCCAAGAACGCTGTTTTCTGGGTGAGCTAATTCTCAATATACCCCGTGGCTGTTTCGCGCACTTTCGTAGTTATACTGTACCGCATGCACGGGTGCGGGCCGGTTTGCCTATTTCTCTCTGCCCACAGCTCCACTGTTAAAAAAATCGTTTGTAATTTTACAAGTTTTGTTGGCAACTTTTTACGCAATTCAATGTTTGTAAAATTACAAACTAAAACAATTGTAAAAAAAATTGCAAACGCGGTTTGAAATTTCAGAATCTGCGATCTGAAAATTAAAAACGTTAATATGGATTTTCAAATCGTCAAGATTTTAAAGATTAAAGTAATTAGCCATGAACATGGAGTAGGTGATCCTCCAAAGGTCTAATGTTCAGCTGGTTGGGCTGATAGATAATATATATTAGCTCTAATGATTCTGAAGTATCCTACGGATATTCTTCTGGGAGCTAGGAGAAGATCAGGCAGTACACACTTCTGAGCTCTTCAACGTTTATTCCACAACTCCTTACAAAAAGGCGGGACGGCGGGAGCCGGCCAGACACAAGGCACCGCCACCAGGTGCGCACTCTGGTGGCAATGATGAGAACACATCATCCACCCCGGGCTAATTTGAGCACCAGAGGGAAGCAAATTAACATGTCAAAGAAAATAAAGTATGTTATACAAAGCAAGATAACAATCACAATAGAAAATGCAAGAAAAATTACAGACATACAATGAACAAAGATTAAAGATCAATTAAGCTCTAGTGAGCTGGTTGTGGTGAACATCTTTGATAACACCTTGAATGTCAATCACATAGATGTCAGGGCCTTTGGCTCTAACAATGACTCCTTCAACAATCTCCGATTTCTTGGTGAGTCTAAACTTAACCTTTTCACCAGCTCTAAAATGGAAATTACGTAATGGTACATTTTTCTCAGGTAACAGTTGCGATAACATTGTTCTTGGCTTAAAACTAAACAACAATTCGTTCGGGCTCTTATGAGTAGTGGTAGTGGGGGTGTTCCTGTAGTTATACAGAAATTTACTCAATCTGGATTGAATCAGTAACAAATCAGTTTCCATACTGTTGGTATTGCCTTACTCAGACAATATGATTTTCTCCATACCTTTCTTGGCTAAGTCGACAGACTTCTCAGCCTGCCCGTTTGACTGCGGACAATAGGGAGGTGAGTGCATAATCTTAATGTTGAATTGAGTGCAAAACTCAGCATATTCATTACTGTCAAATGGTGGTCCATTGTCACTGACCAGAAACTTTGGTAAACCAAAAATTGCAAAAATTGCCAACAACTCTTTGATGACAAAAGGGGCTCTGGTGGACTGCATGTGAGCAACATGCAACCACTTAGAGTATGCATCACAAACAATGAAATAGGAAAGTGACCTCCTTTCATAAAAGTCAATGTGAACTCTCTCAAAGGGGGTTGCAGGTGCAGGCCAAGGTACAAACACCTTGTCTGGTTTAAAATTAACCAAGGCACAAATGGAACAATGAGACACTAATTGGGTGATGTCCTCTCCAAGGGAGGGCCACCATACATACATACGAGCAAGTAGCTTGGTACGATAAATTCCAGGATGACCATCATGTAAAGCCTTAAGAACTAAGCCTCTAATGGTACTGGGAATGATGACTCTACTTGAGAACAATAGACATTTACTAACAATAGTGAGACAATCCCTCACTCTGAAGTATGGTAAAATTGCAGGATTATTTTTAAATTTGTCTCTGGGTGGCCAGCCCAAATGAACAAATCTGAAAACCGCTTCTAATACAGGATCATTGTGCAATTCAGATGCAATCTTTTCACTAGTTAGGGGTACTTCAGTGGCAATCTTGACATTGACTGCCGCTACATGAACTTCTTCAATAGTAATAGGTGCAGGTAATCGTGACAACGCGTCCGCCACCACTAAATTAGCTGCTTTTCTATGTACCAACTTGTATCTGTAGGCTTGTAAAATTGAGGCCCAATGCTGGAGCCTGTGCCCAGTTCTAACAGGAAGAGAACTATTGATGTTAAAAATTCTAGAGATTGCCTGGCAATCAGTTACTAAGGTAAATTGCTGACCCCACAAAAATCTGTGAAATTTGGAGATAGCATAAATTACTGCTAGGCCTTCCCTGTCTATCTGTGCATAATTTTGCTGAGCAGGAGACAAGGTTGACGACACTAACATGACAGGACGGTCTACTGGTTTGTTGTTGAGAGTAACAGTGTGACAAAGTGCAGACCCTACACCATAGGGACTTGCATCAGTGTAGACCACTATTGGTAAGTTAGGATTAAAATGCAGTAATAACTTGTCTGACTTAAGAAGCTCCTTACATTTTAGAAAGGCTTCATTACAAGATTGACTCCAGATAAACTTGCTGTCTGCTTTTAACAAGTTAAACAAGGGTTTTGCAATGGTAGCAAATTGGGGAATAAATATGGTATAAAAATTAACCATACCAAGGAAAGATCTAAGTTGTTTTACATCCTTAGGGATGGAACACATTTCAATACCTCTGACTAGAGAAGGTGCAGGTTGCCTGCCATGTTGAGAAATAACAAAACCTAAAAATTCTAACTTAGGTACAAACCAATCACATTTGGATAAATTCAGTCTTACATTGTGACTTTCTAGGCGTGATAGCACTAGATGAGTATTTTGAACCACTTCTGCGGTAGAATTACCATGGATTAATATATTGTCAAGGTAAACCTTAACATTAGGAATGTTCATAACAATTTCTTCCATCACTGATTGGAAGATTGCTGCTGCAGATGCAATACCAAAGGGTAAACGTAAAAGTTTGTAAAAGCCACGATGAGTGGCCATGGTACACAATTCCTGAGATTCAGGTGATAAAGGTAACTGCATGTATGCATCTTTAAGATCCAGAGAAACAAACAAGGCACTTTTACTGAGATCAGAAAAAATTTCCTCTGGGGACGGAATAGGATAATGGTCCACTCTGAGTTGAGGGTTGAGTGACCTTTTAAAATCAATTACTAATCTGTAAGAACCATCTTTCTTTGCAACAGGAAAAGAGGGAGAGGCCCATTCAGCATGTCTAGTGTGAATGGCCTTCCCTTGCTGTACCATTTGGTCTAATATAGAATTAATACTATCAGTTAAGCCAAAGGCTAATTTGTATGCTCTATGTTTAATTGGTGTGGCACCATCTTTTAAAACTAGCACAGCAGAAAAACCAACAATAGGGTTATCATTATTGGGATCAAAAATCTTTGGATATAACCCTTTGAGTTCTTCCAGCGAAGGAACTCTGGTTGGAGAAATGACAGAAATCAAAGTGGTAGGAGACATGATGTCTCTCCATTTAGGAACTAGAGCATCGAGCCATGGTCGGCCCAATAAGGGAGTATCATAGATGACTGTATCACAGACAATAAAAGTTAACTGATAACTTTTGTTTTGAATAATGACAGGGACTGACACTTCTCCACATACAGAAATGGGACCAGACACAGAACTCAATATAATATTAGTAGGAACTAATGATAAGGTAGGAAAATGTTTTTTTAGAAACTTCTTTGTTACAATAGACACACCTGCCCCGGAATCTACCTCCATAGTGATGAGTTTGTTGTTCACGGAAATCTCCACCAACAAGGGCGCGCTACTTGATGATGAAATAAACACGTTAACTTCCGTATTGTCACCAGGGGTAAACACTTCACTCTCCGAAGAAGGACGAT